CCCTCCCCCCGCCGTTTCCCGGCCCCCCCCGCGTCCCCTGCCCCGGCTACCCCAGCCGCCATCTCCCTCCCACCCAGCACCGCTGAGCCCCTTCTCTCCCTCCTCCTCCAGGCCATGGCTGTGGGCATCACCCACGTCCTGACCCTGCTGAGCATCCTGCAATACACGCTGAAGGTGAGTGACTGGCCGGACGCGGCCATGCAAGACCTCCTGCGGCAGCATGAGGAGCAGCAGAGTCGGGGGGGGACTTGGCTGCTGGGGGGGGCGGGGGGGGCGGGGGCGGGGGGGGGGGGGGCGGCACGGGGAGGGTGCCGGTGGGCTGCCTGTCCCCACAGCGCGGCCACGTTTCCTGGCATCGCTGCCGCAGAGGTGGGGGGCCCTGCTCCAGCCCAGGCAGGGCAGCAGGCAGGGTGGCAGGCAGGGTAGCAGGCAGGGCTTGCCTGCTGCCCCCCCACACATGCCAGTGTGCCTTGGCCAGGCAGGGCTGGGCACGGCTGGGCTGGGAGCAAACCTGGGTCCTCTCCCTCCGTCCGTGGGACCTCGCAAAGCCCCCGGTGCTCCCGGCTTCTTGCAAAGCCTCTGCCACGGGGCCAGGGGAGACAGGGATGGGGAGGGGAGCGTGGGGCTGGGGGTGCACAAGCTCATGGGGGCGAGCGCGGGGCTCAGGGGTGCACAAGCTTGCAGAGGCGAGCGCGGGGCACAGGAAGCGGAGCCGGGTGCCACCTCCTCAGCTCCCAGCCCCGGCGGCACCAGGAGGCACCGGCGGCACCCACGGGGGTCTGTCCTTAGGGTATTTGGCCGCCAGTGCTGGGGGAGCTGGGGTGAGGCCGGGATGGGCACCCCACGCCCGTGGGCAGTGCAGGGGGTCTCCAGGGAGGACGGTGCTGGTGCCCAAATGGCTCCGCTGTGCCGTGCCGGCGAGGGCTGAGCCCCAGGGATGGGGCCCCCAGGGGCCAGCATGGGGTGAGCCTGCACCCCCCAGGAGCGTGCCCAGGAGGGGACCGGGTGCTCCCCGGCACCGTGGCAGCGGGGCCGACCGGGGCCCAGGCGAGTGGTGGAGGTAGAGCCCACCCTGCCGCGGCTGCGCCGCACGTCCGGCGCTGGCTGTCGCAGTGACGCAGCAGCACTTTCACTCTCCTTCGCCACGGAAACCGCCAAGCCGGGCTGCTCCTCTCGCTCTGACTCCGCTCCCACTCCCGCTCCTGCCGCCACCGGCCCGTGCCATGCCGTGCGGCTCCACCAGGGCCGGCGGCATGGCGGGGCACCCGCGATGCCATCCCCGGCCCCGCGGCCTTGCTTGCGCGTTTGGCACCACCGTCTGCCACGCTCACGTCGGCGCTGTCTGTCACATGGGCACACGCTCGGGCCCGGCGTGCCGGTGAGCGCCGGCACAGACGGTCCTCCCCCATGTCTCACGCTCGCCGCTCTGTTGCTGCACTTGCGAGCCGGGGCCGGCTGCACGCTTCCTGCGGGTGCTGGCACCGCCTGTCGCACACGCACACCCGCCTGTCGCACACGCTGGCACCGCCTGTCACAAACGCACACCCTCCTGTCGCACACGCACACCCGTCCGTGGGTGTTGGCGTTGCCCGTCTGACACATGCGCCGGCACGTCACGGGCCCTGGCTGTGCCTGTCATGCTCTTTCTCACTCTCGCACTCGCACACACCGTGGGCCACGTTTGTGTGTCACACTTGCACATGCGTGTGCACGCAGGGTTGTCACACGGCCTGGCTCTGCCTGTTGTGCACACACACGTAGGAACACCCACACAGGCTGTCCCTGCTGCCATGCGCACGCACACGGTTGTCACACGCCTCGTCCCTTCCTGTCACACGCGCACGCCTCGGTGGCTGGCTCTGCCTGTGGCGCACACACGCGCACAGCCGTCGCAGGCCCTGGCTCCGCCTGTCTCTCACACAAGCACGCACAGGCACCGCCGTCCTGGGGAGGGTGGCCCCATGTCCCCGGCGCCAATGGGGACAGGCGGGAGTGACGGGGACCCAACACCGGCCCCACGCCGCGGCGTTGCAGCACAGGCGAGCCGGGCAGGACGGCCAGCGTGAGCGTCCCCTCTGCACAGGGGCTGTCCTCGCTGACATGGGGATGGGAGCGGCCGGGTGACGACCCAGCGTGTCCTTGTCCTGAGGGTACCATGGCACCATGCCCTGGTCCTGAGGGTGTCCTGGCCGTGTGTCCTGGGTCTGAGGGTTTCATGGATGCTTGTCCTGGTCCTGAAGGTGTCATGGCAGTGTATCCAGGTCCTCGTGGTGTCATCCCTTGTGTCTTGGTCCTGAGGGTGCCATGGTGGTGTGTCCTGGTCCTGAGGGTGTTCACTGCAAAACAACCTGCTCCTCAGGGTGTCACGGCAGTGAGTCTTGGTCCCAAGTGTGCCATGGAGGTGTGTCTTGGTCCTGAGGGTGTCTTGACCACTTGTCCTGGACCTGAAGCTGCCATGTGTTGTGTCCTGGTCCTGAGGGCGCCATGGCCTCGTGTTCTGGTCCCGAGAGTGCCACGGCTCCACGTCCTGGTCCTCATGGTGTCATCTCCATTTTGTCTTGGTCCTCAGGGTGTCATGGTGGTTTGTCCTGGTCCTCAAGGTGCCCCGATGTTGTATCCAGGTCCTCATAGTGTCACATCCTTGCATCTTGATCCTGAGGCTGCCGTGGATGCGTGTCCTTTGTCCTGAGGGTGTCATGGTGTTGTGTCCTAGTCCAGAGTATGTCATGGCAGCGTGTCCTGTTCCTTAGGGTGTCATGGCAGCATGTCCTGGCCCTGAAGGTGCCATGACAGTGTATCCTCGTGGCGTCACATACTTCTGTCCGGGTGCTGTGGGTGTCATGTCCCGGTGTCCAGGTCCTGAGGGTGTCGTGTCATTGTGTCATGGTCCTGAGGGTGTTATTGCAGCTGGCAAGTGTCATGGCAGCGTGTTCTGGACCTGAGGGTGCCATGGCCATGTGTCCTGGTCATGAGAGCACCATGGCCCTGTGTTCTGGTCTTCATGGTGTCAACCTCTTTTTGTCTTGATCCTGAGGGTGCCATGGTAGCGTGTCCTTGTCCTGAGGGCATCATGGCACTGTGTCCTTGTCCTGAGATTGCTATGGTGGAGTGTCCTGGTCCTGAGGGTGCCATGACATTTCGTCCTGGTCATGAGGGTGCCATGGTGGTGTATCCTGGTCCTCAGCGTGAAACAGTGGTGTGTCCTGGTCCTGAGAGTGCCATGGCAGTCTGTCCTGGTCCTGAGGATGTCATGACATTGTGCCCTGGTTCTGAAGGTGCCACGGCAGTATTTCCTGGCCTTCCTGGTGTCACAGCTGTGTGTCCAATGTCCTGAGGGTTTCATGGCCGTTTGTCCTGGCCATGAAAGCCTCATGGCATTGTGTCCTTCTCCTGAAGGTGCCATAGCAGTGTATACTGCTCCTCAAGGTGTCATTGCCATGCGTCCTGAGGCTGTCATGGCGCTGTGTCCTGCTCCTGAGGATCTCATGGCACCATGTCCTAGTCCTGAGGCTGTCATGGCGTTGTGTCTTGGTTATGAGGGTGCTATGGCAATGTGTCCTGCTCCTCAGGGTGCCAGGGCTTTGGTTTTCTTTATCCTAAGGCTGTTGTGGTAGTGTGTCCTTGTCCTGAGGGTGTCATGACAGCATGTCTGGCTCCTGAGGGTTTCATGGCATCGTGTCCTGGTCCTGAGGGTGTCATGGCTGTGTATCTTGGTCCTGAGCGTGCTGTGGATGTGTGTCCTGGTCCTGAGGAGGCCATGGCTCAATGTCCTTTTTTTTGTGGGAGACATGGCGTTGTGTCCTGGTCCTGAAGGTGCCATGGCTGCGCGTCCTTGTCATGAAGGTGCTGTGCCATTGTGTCCTTGTCCTGAGGGTGTCATGTCCATGTGTGCTGGTCCTGAGGATGCCATGGGACTGTGTCCTGGTCCTGAGGGTGTCATAGCAGCTTGTCCTTGTCCTGAAGGTGTCTTGGCAGTGTATCCAGGTCCTCGTAGTGTCACATCCTTGTGTCCTTTTCCTGAGGTGCCATGGCATTGTTTCCCCTGTTTCTGGGGAGACTTTATTGCGACCTATTGTGGATGCCCCCTCCCTGCAAGTGTTCGAGGTCAGGTTGGATGGAGCTTTGAGCCACCCGATCTAGTGAAAGGTGTCCCTGCCCATGGCAGGGGGGGTTTGGCTAGATGGTCTTTGAAGATCCCTTCCAACCCAAACCATTCCGTGATTCTATGATGTCCATGTATCCAGGTCCTGCAGGCGCCGTGGCAGCTTGTCTTGATCCTGAGAATTTCATGGTAGTGGGTGCAGATGCTGAGGATGCCACGGCTCGGTGTCCTGGTCCTGAGGGTGCCTTAGCAGATGGTCCTGGTCCTGAGGGTGCCACGTCCGTGTGTCCTGCTCCTGAGGCTGCCATGGAAGGTTGTCTTGGTCCTGAAGGTGTTATGGCAGTGTGTGCTGCTCCCGAGTGTGTCGTGATGTTGTGTCCTGGTACTGAGGGTGTGATGGCATTGTGTCCTGGTCCGGAGGGTGTCACATCCCTGTGTTCAGCTCCTGTGGGTGTCACGTCGATGTGTTGTTGTTCTGAGGATACCACGGCATTGTGTCCTGTCCCTGAGGGCATCATTGCAATGTGTCTTTGTCCGGAGGTTGTCTTGGCTACTTGTCCTGGAGCTGAAGCTGCCATGCAGTGTGTCCTGGTCCTGAGTGTGCCATGGCTCTGTGTTCTCGTCCTCATGGTGTCACCTCCATTTGTCTTGGTCATGAGTGTGCTGTGGCATTGTGTCCTCATCCTCATGGTGTGTCACCTCCATTTGTCCTGGTCCTGAGGATGCCGTGGCTGCATGTCCTGGTCCTGAGGGTGTCATGGCCATGTGTCCTGGTGAGGGTATCTTGTGGGTTAACCCCGGCAGGCAGCTAAGAACCACACAGCCGCTCGCTCACTTCCCACCCACCCCCAGTGGGATGGGGGAGTAGGAAAGGAAGAGTAAAAGCACGAAAACCTGTGGGTCGAGATGAGGATTGTTAGATAAGAGAAGTGGCAGAAGAGGGAAAGAAAACTGAACAAACCAAGTGATGCGAAGGCCATCACTCACCCCCCATGGGTAGACCAGCCAGCTCCTGAGCAAAAGATGTCTAACTTACCCAAACCCCCTCCGCTCCCCTTTTAGTGCTGATCGTGGCGTTACACGGCGTGCAATATCGTAGGATCCTAGAATGGTTTGGGTGGGAAGGGACCTTTAAAGATCATCTGGTCCAACCCCCTGCCATGGGCAGGGACATCTCCAAACAGACCAGGGTGCTCCGAGCCCCATCCAACCTGGCCTTGAACGTGTCCAGGGATGGGCCATCTCCCACCGCTCTGGGCAACCTGGGCCAGGGCCTCACCACCCTCAGCACAAACAATTTCTTCCTTCTGTCCAGTCTGAATCTCCCCTCTTTCCGTTTAAAACCATTCCCCCTTGTCCTGTCGCCGCAGGCCCCGCTAAAAAGCCTGTCCCCACCTTTCTTGTAGGCGCCCTCTAAGTATTGAAGGGAATACGTCATTGGTTAGCTCAGGTCAGCTGCCTGGTTGTGTGACACAGCACGGTGTCCTGGTCCTGAGGGCATCATGGTTGCATATCTCAGTCCTGAGGGTGCTGTGGCTGCGTCCTGGTCCTGAGGAGGCCATGGCTCCATGCCCTGGTTTTGTGTGTGTCATGGCAGCGTGTCCTCGTCCTGAAGGTGCCATGGCTGTGTGTCCTCATCATGAGAGTGCCATGCCGTTGTGTCCTAGCTGTGAGTGTGTTGTGGCAGTGTGTCCTGGTCCTGCAGGGGTCATGACACTGTGTCCCGGTCCTGAGGGTGCCATGGCCAGAGCAGGGCAGCGAGGCTGGGGCAGGGGCTGGAGCGGCTGGGGGAGCTGGGGGGGCTCAGCCTGGAGAAGAGGAGGCTGAGGGGAGCCCTCATCGCTC